ATTATTCTAGCATCATTTGTTGAAAAGTCTATATTTTTGCCCAGTTTTAAATTAGGTTATTTGTCTTTATTATTACTGAGTTATAGTAGTTACTAATATATCCTGGATACTAGTCTTTCGTCAGATATGTTTTATAAATATTTTCTTCCTGGGGCGCCTGGGTGGCTCAGTCAGTTAAAGGGTCTTACTTCGGCTCAGGTCATGATCTCAGGGTCCTGGGATGGAGCCCTGCGTCTGGCTCTGCACTCAGCGAGGAGTCTGCTTCTCCCTCTCCCTCTGCCACTCCCCCTGCTCCTGCTCTCTCTCTCTCTCGTTCTCAAATAAATAAATAAATAAATAAAATCTTTTAAAAAATAAATATTTTCTTCCCATTGATGGCTTGTCTAGTAGTTGTCTTGATGGTGTCTTTTGATGAGTAGACATTTTTAGTTAGTTTTTTTTTTTTTTTAAAGATTTTATTTATTTATTTGAGAGAGAGAGAGAGAAACAGCATGAGAGGGGATAGGGTCAGAGGGAGAAGCAGGCTCCCTGCTGAGCCGGGAGCCCGATGTGGGACTCGATCCCAGGACTCCGGGATCATGACCCGAGCCGAAGGCAGTCGCTTAACCAACTGAGCCACCCAGGCGCCCGACATTTTTAGTTTTGATGAAGTCTAATTTATCAGTTTTCTTTTGTGGTTATTGCTTTTTCAATTCATCTACCTTTCAATTATAAAGATATTTTATGTTTTCCACAGAGGTCTTTATGGTTTTTATTTTTATGTTAATGTCTATGATCCATCTTGAATTAATCTTTGTGTATGGTGTGAGGTAGGAGTCATGGTTCATTTTTTTTTCATATGAATATTCATTTATTCAAGCACCGTTTGCTTAAAAGCCTGTCCTTCCTCCCCTGGATTGCTTTGGTGTCTTTGCTGAAAATCAAATAACCATACCATATATTCCATTGATCTGTTAGTTTGTCTTTATTATTCCACTATCCTGATTACTGTCATTTTACAGTAAGTATTAAAATTTGGTAATATAAATCCCCTAATTCTGTTCCTTTTCAAGATTTTTTTGGCTATTCTATACACTTTTCATTTCCATGTATATTTTGGAAGCACTATGCCTACTTCTTCCAAATAATCTGATGATTTTTTTTTAATAGAAATTGCACTGAGGGGCACCTGGGTGGCTCAGTTAGTTAAACATCTGCCTTTGGCTCTGGTCATGATCTCAGAGTCCTGGGATAGGGCCCCACATCAGGCTCCCTGCTCAGCGAGGAGCCTGCTTCTTCCTCTGCCCTGCTCCTGCCCCTGCTTACTCTCTCTTTCTCTCAAATAAATGAATAAAATCTTAAAAAAAAAAGAAAAAGAAAAAGAAATTGCATTGAATATGTATATCAACTTAGGGAGAATGGATTTTTTTTTTTTTAAGATTTTATTTATTTACTTGACAGAAAGGGCACAAGCAGGCAGAGTGGCAGGCAGAGGCAGAGGGAGAGGGAGAGGGAGAAGCAGGATCCCTTCCCAGCAGAGAGTCCAACGTGGGTCTTGATCCCAGGACCCTGGGATCATGACCCAAGCTAAAGACAGACACTTAACAGACTGAGCCACCCAGGTGCCCAGGGAGAATGGATTCTTTTCAGTATTGAGTTTCCTAATCCATAAACATGGTATATCTGTTCATTTATTCAGGTCCTCTTTAATTTCTCTCAGCAATATTTGTAGTTTTCAGTATACAAGTCTTATACAATTTTTGTTAGGTTTATTTCTAGATATTTGACATTTTTTGATTCTATCATAAATGATATTTTGTTTAAATTTCATTTTCCAATTATTTGTTGCCTGTTATACAAATATACCTAATTTTTATGTATTGACCTTGATTCCTTTCACCTTGTTAATTTCACTTATTAGTGGTAGTATTTTGGGTGTAGCCTTTTTTGAATTTTTTTACATACACAGTCATGTTGTCTCTGAATAGTGATGGTTTTACTTCCTTCCCAATCTTATGTCTTGTATTTGTTTTTCATATTTTATTTCATTAAGTTCTCTAATATAATATTTACTAGTAGTGGTGGGGAGATATTCTTGCCCTGTTTCTGATCTTAGTGGAGAAGCATCTATTCTTTTACCTTTAGGTATAATGTTAGCTGTTGTTCAGAGATATCCTTTATCAAGTTAAAAAATCCATTTTTTAAAAAGATTTTATTTATTTGAGAGACAGAGAGAGAGCACAAGCAGGGGGAGGGGCAGAGGGAGAGAGAGAAGCAGACTCCCCACTGAGCAGGGAGCCCGATGATGATACGGGGCTCAATCCCAGAACCCTGGGATCATGACCTGAGCCAAAGGCAGCTGCTTAACCGACTGAGCCACCTAGGTGCCCCTCACTATTTTTTTTTTTAAGATTTTATTTTTAAGTAATCTCTACACCCAATGTGGGGCTTGAACTCACAACTCAAGATCAAGAGTCACATGCTTCACTGACTAAGCCAACCAGGTGCCCCTAAAAAAGTTCACTTTTATTCCCAGTTTGCTAACAGTTTTTATTATGAAATAATAATTTTACTGAACATTTTTTATCAAATACTTTTCCTGGATCAAGACAATCATATAGTTGTTCTCTTTTAGTCTGTTCATGAGCTTCATGTCATTGTTTGATTTTTGTAAAGTTAAGCTAACCTTACATTCCTGTATTAAACTTCTTTGGTCATGATATATTTCAGTGTTTATGTAGGTGGATTCTATTTCCTGATAGAGTTTTTTGGTATGTATCTATATTCCTAAAGAATACAGGTCTATAACTTTTTTTAAAGATTTTTTAATTTATTCATTTGAGACACAGAGATACAGAGAGAGAGAGAGAGAACATGAGCAGGGGGAGAAGCAGAGGGAGGGGGAGAAATAGGCTCCCTGCTGAGCAGGGAGCCCGATGTGGGGCTCGATCCCAGGACTCTGGGATCATGACCTGAGCCAAAGGCAGCTGCTTAACCAACTGAGCCACCCAGGTGCTCCTCCTTATTACTTTTTTGATGTCTATTGGATTCATTGCTAATATTGGTAATTTGGTTTTTCTTCTTTTTGTCTTTATCAGTCTTATGATTTATGAATTTTATTACTATTTTCAAAGAACCAACTTTTGTCTTTGTTAATTTTCTCTATTGTTTGTTTTCTATTTCATTGTTTTCATCTCTATTTCTTCTATTTAAATTGGATTTATTTTTTTCTAGCTTCTTAAAGTGGGAATTTAGACAATTGTCTTTAAGTCTTCTTTTCTAATATACATGTTTAAAGCTATATATTTGCTTTTAAGCACTGCTCTAGTTGAACCCCATGAATTTTGATATCATTCAGTAATCTCTAATGCCCATTGTGGGGCTCGAACTCATGACCCCAAGATCAAGACTGGCACACTCTACCAACTGAGCCAGCCAGGTGTCCTGTTATCATTCATTTAGAGATACTTTATAATCTGTGATTTCCTCTTTGTTTCATGGGTTATTTAGGAATATAATGTTTAATTTACAAATATTTGGAACTTTTAAAGATAACTTATTGTTATTCTTTAAATCCTTTTTCCCAAAAACATACTCTGTAAGATTTTAATCTTTTACCATTTACTGAGGATTGTTTTATTACCAAGTATGTGGTCCATCTTGGTACATGTTCTATGTATACTTTATTTTTTTTTTAAGATTTTATTTATTTATTCATGAGAGACAGAGAGAGAGAGAGAGAGAGGCAGAGGGAGAAGCAGGCTCCCAAGGAGCAGGAAGCCCAATGCGGGACTCGATCCCAGGACCCTGAGATCATGACCTGAGCCGAAAGCAGATGCTTAACCATCTGAGCCACCCAGGCGCCCCTGTATACTTTATTTTTTTAGAAAAAGATTTTATTTATTTGAGAGAGAGAGAGAGAGAGCAATCATGAGGTGGGATGGGGAGGAGCAGAGGGAGAGAATAGAGAAGCAGACTCCCCACTGAGCAGGGAGCCCAATGCAGGGCTCGATCCCAGAACCCTGAGATTGTGATTTGAGCTGAAGGCAGATGCTCAACCGACTGAGCCACCCAGGCACCTCTGGTCTATGTATACTTTATTTTTATTTTTTTATTTTTTAATTTTTTTAAGATTTTTATTTATTTATTTGACAGAGAGAGACAGCGAGAGAGGGAACACAAGCAGGGGGAGTGGGAGGGGGAGAAGCAGGCTTCCTGCGGAGCAGGGAGCCCAACGTGGGGCTCGATCCCAGGACCCCGGGATCATGACCCGAGCCGAAGGCAGACGCTTAACGACTGAGCCACCCAGGCGCCCCTGGTCTATGTATACTTTAAACAGATGTGTATTCTACACTTGTTGGGTATAGTACTCTACACATATCAATTAGGTAAAAATGATTGGTAATGTTCAGAACTTTGACATTCCTCCTGCTTTTTATTGAGTTGTTTTATCATTTACTGAGACAGAGGCTATGTAATCTCCATCAAAGATTGTGGATTTGTGTATGTGTCTTTTTACTTCTGTTTTTACTTCATGTATTTTGGGGTTTTTGTTGTTGTTTTTTAAGTAATCTCCACACTCCACGTGGGGCATGAACTTGCAACCCTGAGATCAAGAGTCGTACACTCCACCAACCGAGCCAGCCAGGCGCCCCTCTTCATGTATTTTGAAGCTGTTTCATATTTATAACTGTTAGGTTTTCCTTATATGTTTTTCTTTACCTCTGATGGTATTCCATTTTTGAAGCAGACAGGGAGAAAAGCTTGGTCAGCTGAGATGAGCTACAACCATATAGTGAGATAGTGGCATCAAAACAGATGGGAGGCATGGGCCAAAACTGGACTGACCCTATGGAAAGGAGAAATAAGTAAGTTCAGTTTTGTAACCCTATTAAAAATTTTCCCCTTAGGCCTGCCCTGGGACTTGAAATGTATTTACTAGGGCTTTACCTATAGGACTTTTAGAAAATTGGACATTTTTAGTAGAATTACATATTTGTTAAGATTAATTATTTAAGGGGTGCCTGGCTGGTGCAGCATGTGATGCTTGATCTCAGGGTTGTGGGTTCAAGCCCCACGTTGAGTGTAGAGATTGCTTAAAAATAAAATATTTTAAAGAAGAGATTATTTGATTTAAATCTGTAACCACCCACTATCATCTATGGAAGGGTAGCCTATTCTTAAGAATTATCTCCTTCCCCTCTGTTAGGTACGCTGCCTGGGATACATGGGCAATGGATGAATGAACTAGAGGCCAGGTAAATTTTATTTAATTAATTTTTAAAAAAAAGATTTTATTTATTTATTTGAGAGAGAGAGACACAGCCAGAGAGGGAACACAAGCAGGGGGAGTGGGAGAGGGAGAAGCAGGCTTCTCGCGGAGCAGGGAGCCCGATGCGGGGCTCAATCCCAGGACCCTGGGATCACGACCTGAGCCGAAGGCAGATGCTTAACAACTGAGCCACCCAGGTGCCCCCAGGTAAATTTTATGAGAGGTGTGCTAGGCAGCTTCAACTATGGCCCCAGTGATCCTTGCCTTCTGGTATAATGTGTAATCTCCCACACTAAGGCTGACTTATATGATCAGTAGGAAGCTGTGGAACTAACAAAGTATGACTTTCAAAGCCAGGTCATAAAAGGCACTGCAGTTCATTCAGTCTTGGAATCTTGTATCATTTGCTCTTGGAGGAACCCAACCATGTTGTGAGGAGGCTCAGGTGGCCCCATGGAGAAGTTCACACCAAAAGGCACTGAGCCTCCTTCCAACTGCCAGCCATGTGAGAAGCCACACTGGAAGTGGATCCTGCAGCTCCGTCAAGTCTTCAGATGACAGCAGGCCCAGCCAACACCTGACTGCAACCTTATGAGAGACACAAAGCAGAACTGCTCAGTCAAGCCACTCCCGGATTCTTAACCCACAGGAATCATGAGAAATAATAAATGATTCATTTTTTTAAAGATTTATTTATTTGAGAGAAAGAGAGAGAGGGCACACAAGTAGGGGGAGTGGCAGGCAGAGGGAGAGGGAGAAGCAGGCTCCCTGCTAAGCAGGGAGCCCGATGCGGGACTCTGGGATCATGACCTGAGCCGAAGGCAGATGCTTAACTGACTGAGCCACCCAGGTGCCCCATGATTCATGTTTTAAGCCACTAAGTTTTGAGGAGATTTGTTATGTATTAATAAGTAACTTGTACAAAAGCAAAGATCAGAAACAGTAGGTGCTCCTGGGGGACTTGGTGGGATGAACAAGGTAGTCCTGGTCGGGGGGAGGAGAGAAAGGCATGATACAGGAGCAGGATGGACTAAGGAACCTGTGAAAACCATTTTCTGCATTTTGTCATTTCATCCAGGATTCACCCTAAAAAGTTATTACAGATTATCTCTGAAATGTGGGATCAGGAGAATGCTAGTGACCTTCATTCAGAGGACAGATTATAGGGAGGGTGTTCCTATAGACAAGTGATTAAGCTCTATATTCAAGATCAGGTTCTGGAAGGACAGTAGTTGTTCTTCCATCAATAAACTTTTTTTTTTTTTTTTAAGATTTTATTTATTTGACAGAGAGAGAATGAGAGAGAGAGCACATGAGAGGGGGGAGGGTCAGAGGGAGAAGCAGACTCCCTGCCGAGCAGGGAACCCGATGCGGGACTCAATCCCGGGACTCCAGGATCATGACCTGAGCCGAAGGCAGTCGCCCAACCAACTGAGCCACCCAGGCGCCCAATAAACTTCTTTTGAGGTGAGTTCTAGGTCAGTCCCTGGGATAACTGCTGAGTGAAATAGGCAAGGATAAGTGAGAGACAGACCCTGCCTTCAGTAAGTTTGAAATATGAGATTGGCAAAAAAACAAAAACAAAAAACCCAGTGACAATATCATGTGACAATGTGATAAAGCAGGACAAACTCAGGCAGTAGGAAGGACAGAGGCCATTAGGCAGTAACTTTTGAGTTTTGAAGGATAAATATAATTTGGCTTCTCTCTGGGTGGACGGGAAGGGACAAGGGAGTAGGTGACGGTCTTGGAAGAAGAGCCTTCCAGACACCAGGGAGGCATGTTCAAAGACTTAGAAAATTAGAAGGTTAGAGGTTCAAGAAACTAAGTAGTTTTGAATGACTAGACTAAGCTCCTGTGGGGTCTGGTATCTCCTGGGAGAATTTGGATTGTATCTTGAAAGCACTGAGGAACAAATAGGGTTTAATTCAAGGCCGTGACTTAACTTAGATCTGCATTGGGAAGGATTCACCTTGCTGCAGGGGGAGGATGGACAGCAGCCAAGGAGGCCATCGTACAGGCAAGAGGGGGAGTCCTAATGAAGTAATGGCACAGGGCAAGCAGAGAAGGGGCCGGGGTTGAGGATGTCAAGAAGGCAGAAGCAGTGGAGTTTATTATCAGTTGGATAGAAGATAAGAGAGAAATCAACAACTCCCAGTTTTCTGTAAGTTAAGAAATACCTTACACTTTAACATGGTCATAAGCTCTAGGCAGCGTTTTGCGTATCAGTTTTTTCTTATAGCACTTTTGGAGAAGTATTTAACTGGATTAATATGTTAATAAGTATACTTTTTAAATGAATTTAAACTGGTATTTACCATTGTCTTCCAGGAAAGGGTGGGATCCTTTGGTTAAGTTTCCTGAACAAAGAAAAAGTAATTACTAGTAAGGCAAGAAATGTGGGAGTGGTCTTGTGGGTTCTTGCAACTAGACAGGCCCATAAAAGCTGGAGAAGGAATTAGAAACCAACAGAAAAACTGCATCCACCTATTCGATCAACGTTTACTGAATTCTTATTTTGGACAAGGCCCCGTGCTAGTAGGTGGAAATATGAAGGTAAATGACACAGGTCCTGCTCGTGAGTTTACAATCTAACTTATTATTATTTTTTTAAAGATTTTATTTGACAGAGAGAGAGACAGCGAGAGAGGGAACACAAGCATGGGGAGTGGGGGAGGGAGAAGCAGGCTTCCTGCTGAGCAGGGTGCCCGATGTGGGGCTCGATGTGGGGCTCGATCCCAGGACCCTGGGATCACGACCTGAGCCGAAGGCAGACGCCCAACCACTGAGCCACCCAGGCGCCCGGATCTAACTTGCTTATTGTCTCTACTCTGCTGTACTGAGACCTGAAATGCCATTTGCAATTCTGCTCTCAAACCTAAGAAAGTGGCGCATAGTACAGTGTAGCTGTCCAGCTGCCGGAGTGACTGTATTCAACTTTTCTGGGAAGGCTTTGGCAACAGGCAGCAAAAGCCAGAAATATGTTCCCACCGACCTCGATCTGCCTCTGGGAATTTATCTTAAGGGAATATCTGAAATAGGGATAAGGATTTATGTACAGGGACATTCATTACTGTTCTAATGAAACAGAGGACACAACCTAAGCTTCTAACAATGAGGAAAAGGTAAAATAAATGATGGTGCATCCCTATGATGGACTATCAGGTAGTAATTAGAAATGGTATTAAAAAAAAAAAACCAGCATGGGGGATAGGACGGGGGGGGAGGGGCGGCGGGAGCAGGCTACCGATCTCTACAGAATGTGTTCAAAAATACATGATTTAGTTTTTTATGCCCTCTGTATTTTTCAAATTTTTGACAAATGAACATGTTACAGGATTTCTATAGCCAGAACTTGTTTTTTTCCTTCCTTCCTTTTAGAGACCTAATGGCAGAAGAGAAAACTAGAAAGACAACCAAAATGACCGAGATTTTGGGAATTCTATTGCATGAGGATTGACCCAAATTAACTGAAATCCCGCATTTTATGTGGCAAGGGTTAAGTGAAATGTCAATATTAGTTGCAATGTATTAAGTGACTTCTGATTGCCAAACGCCAAATAGAGGTAAATAAATGATGTAACTGAGATACCAACTAAGATTTGGTTTCAAAATACAAGCAAATTAAAGAAGGGCAACGAGCAACTCACAGACAAATCCTGCACAGGATTTACACCACATTCAGGGAATGGACATGGTATTATGTTTGGTCTGGGCTGCTGAGAACATGCACAGGTTATATTCCATTTTTCCTTGCTCCACAGCGTCTGGATATATATTTTCCCCTGGACAATCTGTTTGACATCCACACTATATAGTCCTCGTTGATTGCCAGAAACGATGATGTCTTATGATTTGCATTATGTATCTTCCTTTTCTGGCCCTCCTGTTTACCTTAACAGGAAGCATTTGTTTTTGCACCAGTCAAGGGTTGCAGGATAAACATCTGTTAGTGCCCCAGCCAGTAAAACTTCCAGAGCTTCTGCATGTCAATGCTATGTGCACAACGCCCCTCCCCCGATCCCCCTCACTCGCGTTGCCACTAGGTATCTCAGGTTGCACACTCCAGAGCGTTTAATTGCATCCCGCTTTTTCCTCCAGACTTTCCCCCTTACCCCCACCCAGATTAACGGGCACGGCGAAGGCGGGGCGGCCTGACCTTCGGTCATCTTCGGCCGCGGAATCGCCGCGTGACCTTGGGCAAGTCCCCGCTTCCCCTTCCGCCAAACCGCGTGGCTGGATAGCCGGGTCTCCCCTCCGGCCACCGCTCAGCCGAGCCGGTAGACCCTGCGCCCGCACCCCTTTCTCCCCCGACTTCCTCCGCGCGCGCTCCACCTTCCCCACCCCTACGCTCCTGGCGTTTCGGCCGCCTCCGTTCGCACGGCCCCTTCATTCCAGACGCTCGTTTACGCCGCGCGGACTGGGAGGGTGCGATTCCCGGATGCGGCCTGCGCTGCCAGCGCGCGGCCGTCCCGCAGGCCCTCGCGGCTTTACGCCGCTGACGCAGCGCGCCCAAGATGGCGGCGCGGTCGTCGTCGGGGGTGGCGGCGGCAGAGGGGGCGGCGGCCGTGGCGGCGGCGGCGACGGCAGCCGTGACGGCGGCGGCGGCGCGGGGCCTGGGCCGGGGGGAATGAGGCAGCCGTGGCGGGCCAGCGGCCGAGCCGTGTAGCGGAGAAGCGGCTCCCCCTCCCTGCTTCCCTTGGCCGAGCCGGGGACGCGCGCGCGCGCCGCCGTCCGGAGCGGGCTCCCCACCCTCCACTCCCGCGACCCGCACCGCACCCCCATCCGGGCCCGGAGGATGATGAAGCTCAAGTCGAACCAGACTCGCACCTATGACGGCGACGGCTACAAGAAGCGGGCCGCGTGCCTGTGTTTCCGCAGTGAGAGCGAGGAGGAGGTGAGGCTCCGGCCGGGCGGGCCGGGGGTCACCGGAATTTGCGGCCGCCTCCGGCCGAGGCGCGGGGGGCGCGGCCGCTGGGGGAGGGTGTGCCGGGGCCGCGGGCAGGGCCGCTCCTCTCGGCCCGAATGAAGTTCCGACGGAATTTCTTGAGCCAAACAAGAGGAGGAAGGAAGAAGGACGGTGGGCGGAGGGGAAGTGGGTCCGAGCGTGGCCACACGGCACGGGAGTCAGGCCCAAGGAGCTTCAGAGCCGGCCGCCTGTCATAGGAGACAGTGGCCGCGGAGAGAAGGCGGTGGGTGGGGAAGTGTGTGTGGCTTTCGGGCCAGGCCTCCAGCTTTAGGATCCAGGAAGGGCAGCTCCGCACTTGTCAACCCACACATGTGTGCAGAGGCCGCCGTGCACGAGGCGCAGGCCGGCCTTTTGTGCCAGAGAAATAGTCCACTTCACTGGCAGGGTTGGGGGTTGCCGAGGGATTATGTGTGTCTGTGAGCCTAAGGGGGGTTGGTTAGGAAGATTTAGGGCGTTGTACAAATGCCAAAGCCAATTTATTTTGCAATGCGCTGGGTAGCCTTCTGGAGTAGCTGAGAAGAAAGGACATTTGATAATATAATCTTTATGACCTGAAAATTTCATTTTAATTGGGAAGGCCAAAAGCAGTGTTTAAGGTCTTTGCCCTGACATTGCCCTATAGTAAGGCGTTTAGGATTAAATTTGCTAGCAAAATAGAAATGCTTAGAATCAGTTTCTTTTTGCATGGGGTACTTAAAAAAAAAAAAAAAATCTCAGCTTCCCAAAGCCTTTTTTGTGGTGATAAAGGGAATTTAGAGAAGGCAAACGTTTTTGTAAATCCACAAAGAATAGCTGCTTTGGAAATTCATAAGATGCCTGTGGGAAAGCGTTTCTCTCCTGTGCATGGTGGTAAAATGGCAGTTAAACTGGAAACAATGAAGGACAGTGAAATTCAATATTCTATATTCTGGCATTCAGCAGTGGGCTATCGTGGCAGGGCTGCAAGTACAGTGCATCGTGTTGAAATGGGGGGAGAGGAACTTGACCCGTTAGTTATGAAAAGAAGCTGTGATGAAAGAGACAGATGGGTTGCCAAGAGTTGCTGTCCAGAGATATTTAGGAGGAAGTGGGACTTTATTGCCTGAAAAAAATTAGCAAAGCAGTAATTGTGCTATTGAGGGACTGTGTGTGTGTGTGTGTGTGTGTGTTCGTGTTCCCTTTCAGCAAAACAGGAGGAAAGGGAATTTGGAAATGTATACTTTGTGTCCTATCATATATTGTAAAAGTCCCCAAAACAGATAGAATAAACGGGGCCATGGTGTGAATTATGTAGTTTTGGAATACATACTTGAGTAAAGTAAAATTGTCAGTGGTGTTTACTGCTCCTGAGGCTTTGTTCTCTTCATTATCATATTATATTATGGGAAATCAGATGGGATCACAGTCTGTTTTAACTGGAGGGAAAATTAATTAGCTTAATAACATGTCTTACTACAGTACTGTGGTTAAGTCTGTGAGCACCCCAATTATAAGTAGAAGGGTGTATAATTTAGTTGTATGAATGATGCAAGACTGTTCGTTAAAAAAATCATACTAGAAATTGAGAACATGTGAGTATTTTGGATAAATTGGAAAGTCTTCATAGATCATAAGCAAACTAAGACTTTATTTTCCGTTTTCTGTTACTTTTATTATGTACTGATATTAACAGCCTTAATGTTAAAACATTTGACTGTGGAGTTTCCTCTGCTGAATTTCTTTTTGAACATTGGCTAATGAGCAGAAGATTCATGCAAATTTTTAATTACAGATTCAGTGGATGTTACAGCTAAAGCCCAGAAAGAACAAGAAAATTAATGAAATGCACCCATTTTAGACTTGTTCAGTTCAATTAAACAAGTATGTGTTAAGAGCCTGCTATGGGTGTAGCACTCTATAATGTGGGATTTAAAGGTAAACATCCCTCCCTGACCAAAAAAGTTGAGTACTTTTCAATGGGATCCCTTAATTGGGAGGGATTTTGGACCACAAAATAATCTCTAGGGTGCCGTTCAACTCTCAGATTACATAATTGTGTTAGAAGGGAAGTAATTTGTTAGTTCCGGGAGAACTTTTATGTTCTCAATAGAAGTGCCAGAAACTGGACGTATTAGCTGCCACACATTGTGGGAATGTGAAATTCAAACTCAATAGGACATTCAACCCAATTTTATTTTTTAATGGGAACCAATGACTTTAATCAAGATAGAATAGTTTACAGAATATTATTAGCATGAATATAATAGTAATGTAAGTATAAGGGGACCCTAGTTAATAAATTTGATTTACCAGTATCGGGAAACATACATACAATGTAAAGAGAAAGAGATGGAAAATATTAGCAGATAATAGACGGAATCAAACCTTGTAACATTCTGTTTTTTCAGCCCCAGAAGATTTTATTTATATGCCAGCAGTGATAGCTGAAACACTGATCCAGGTTAGGATGTATGAACATATTCAGCAAGGTTATGGAGCCAGTTTATTGAGATACTGTTAGAAAGGAGACATATGTAGGGAGCTTAAAGTCTAGAGGAAGAGACAGAAGAACAGGCCCAACAGCATGAAGAGAATGCGTTTCCTTTACTTCAGACCTCGGGCTGCTTTTCCTGTTAATAAACAAGAATCAATAGGAAAATGGGGGGGGTGCCTGGGGGGCTCAATCGTTAAGCGTCTGCCTTCGGCCTAGGTCATGATCCCAGGGTCCTGGGATCAATCCCCGCATCAGGCCCCATGCTCCAGGCTCCACGGGGAGCCTGGTTCTCCCTCTCCCACTCCCCCTGCTTGTGTTCCCTCTCGCTGTGTCTCTTTCTGTCAAATAAATAAATAAATACATAATCTTAAAAAAAAAATAGGAAAATCCCCCCACTTCAAAGTTCTACTGATTATTATTGACATTTTGATAAATTAAAACCTTTAAGTTTGGGGCATTCATGATAACTAATGTATTTATTACAGTACTTTGAACCGACTGTTAATAGTAGGTAGTCTCTTACCCAACCTCCACTTAAACCAACTTGGTACACTGAATGCTGTTGTTACTCTGGGAGCTACTGGGTTTCATATACCCCCCAACCATGAGGCCTCCCGACCAATTGCGCACTTAACAAAGAATCAGTTGTCTTTATTCCTATATTTGTTTATGTTCATCATACTTGTAATTATGCGGTGTAATTAAATATGATGTAAGTCCATGAAATTTGAGTTCAAAAAGAATGGTTTTGTGAGAAGTATTCTAAATGCTTTGGAATGACTCAATAATTTCAAGTCATTAAAAGAAATTACTGCTCGGGGGGCCTGGGTGGCTCAGTCGTTAAGTGTCTTCCTTCGGCTCAGGTCATGATCCCAGGGTCCTGGGATCGAGCCCCGCATCGGGCTCTCTGCTCGGCCAGGAGCCTGCTTCTCCCTCTCCCACTCCCCCTGCTTGTGTTCCCTCTCTAGCTGTCTCTCTCTCTGTGTCAAATAAATAAAATAAAATAATCTTTAAAAGAAATTACTGCTCAATTATATGGATAAGCAAAAGATGAAGAGGGAGTCTTAAAAGTTTAGAAAGACTCTGCACATAGATAAAGTGTTTTCAGGTTTTTGTTTTTCTTTATAGAAACCTGAACTGGAGGGACGCCTGGGTGGCTCAGTCGGTTAAGTGTTCGGCTCTTGGTTTAGGCTCAGGTCATGATCCAGGGTTTGTGGGATTGAACCCTGCATTGGGCTCCACATTCGGCAGGGAGTCTGCTGGAGGTTCTCTCCCCCTCCCTCTCTCCGTTCCCCTCCCCCTGCTTGCACATGTGCACGCATGTGCTTTCTCTCTCTCTCTAAAATGAATAATTTTTTAAAAACAAACAAAAAAACCCTGAACTGGAAAATAGGTCATGCATGATGGGTGTGGTATATGAAAGACAACTCAGCGTTCAACAATAGACCTATACTCAAGACAAGATCTTGGACCTACAAACAAGGATTAGCAAATAAATATACATTTATTTTTAATCTGCTCTGTCTTCCAATTAACATTTTATCATACTGAAACTGGTTTCTTGAGTAAGATTTTACTGTTCTGGATTGGGTAATATGACACTCATCTTTGTCATATTATTCAACTTTGGCTCTCCGAAAGCACTTACATTTGAGATTTTTCCCTCTTTTCTCTTTTTTGGAGCCTCTGTGATGGGACAGGAAGTGAAGTATACTAGAGGTGGGCTTGCTTGTACTCTTCTACCCTCCCCAGAGTGGAGTGGGGGAGTGTAACAGGCGTCTTAGATGATTGAAATGTCTAGCAGTGTGAAATACTCTTTTAGAAAGACCAGTGACATAGGTTGTGTACCAGATGATGTCGCAGTGCTTAGTGCTTAGGAATTAAAGCTGTGCCTAGGATCTGTTTTTACTCAAGGTAAAAAATGAGTACTGATAGGATTGTCGCAGATTTCCCTGTGTATTAGAACTGCTTTTAAAAAGAAAGGACAAAAGTGTCCTTAAGGGTCTTAGGTTGGTTTGTTGAGCTTTTCCATCTCTTCGCAAGGGACTGCTGCTTCTCATTTTCTCAATTCCTTGAGCTCACGGGGTTGGGTGGGGAGATGATTGACATTGAAGATCCTCAGGGGGCAACGACTCTGGTGGCCTGAGTGTTTGGGCCACCAGACACTTGGGCCTGAGTGTTTGGGAAGGAAGGATGTCACTGCAGATCGCACCTTCCCCTGGGCTCTAGAGAGGGGAGTAAAAGCACAGGTGGCAATCCCAGAGGTGATAACCATGACGAAGAGCTTCCAGTAGATCCCAGGCTGGTTGGAGAGTCTTTTCGTAACATAACTTGGTCATTGTCCAGTATTACATTGCTCTAAGATCATGGTGGGTGCATTGATCCAGTCAGTTTTCTGTCTTTCCTTCTCGGGGTGTGTGGTTTCCCTTGTGCCTACCTAATAATACTGGTTAGTCAGTTAGACATTTCTCCTATTATCTCCTTTTCTGGCTACATCCTGAGATGTGAATTCTGGTCTGAAATCAAACTGCAGTCTCCTTCTTTTTAAAAGATTTTTTATTTACTTATTTGACAAAGAGAGACACAGCAAGAGAGGGAACACAAGCAGGGGGAGTGGGAGAGGAAGAAGCAGGCTTCCCACTGAGCGAGGAGCCCGACGTGGGGCCCCATCCCAGGACCCTGGGATCATGACCTGAGCCGAAGGCAGAGGCTTAACGACTGAACCACCCACGCGCCCCTGCAGTCTCCTTCTTTTCCATTCTTTGCCCTGACCTTTCTTTTTTTTTTTGCTCTTGAGTGATTCTCATGTCTCAGTAAATAATGGTGTTGCATATCTACTTTGTGTGAAGCAATCTCTATTTTTCTTCATAGCCTAGTACAAAAAGGAAGAGCCCTTGTTCAAGAATACATTAGTTTATTCATTTTTTGAGAGCCCTATTATGGACTAGTCTCTGTACAAGATCCTGGGAATACACAGGTAAATAAATCTGTGGTCCTTCATAAAGTCAAGCTGTCTGCCTGCTGTGTATCTGTGTCCATCCCCTCCTGCCCGCCCAGCAGCCTCACTCCTGTGAGTGTCCTGTCTTTCCTGCTTCATTGCCTTTTCTTCTCTACTTTATCGTTCCCAGGACAAACAGGCTAAAGTATTTCCCATCTTAAAAGAAATGCTCCCTTGCCCCATGTTCCCTCCAGCTACTATCCCATTTCTCTCTTCCCCTTCACAGAAAAATATTTCTGTACTTGCTGTTTCCATTTTCCCTCTTCCAATTTCTCTTGAACTCATTCCATTCGGGCACTCTTCTGTGATTCTGCTGGAGCCAGTCTTCAAGATAACAAGTTAACAAATCCAGTGGCCAGTCCTGAATCCTTGTTACCTCATCATTCCTTACATTCCTTTCTTTACCTTGCTTCTAGGACATCTTTCTAGTTCTTCCCTTTCTTTCTGGTTGTTCCTTCTTAGTATTGTGTTCCTCCTCATTTTCCTGAATTCTTTCATTGCCGTGCACAAGGATACAATCTTTGAACTACTCCCTCACCCCAACACACGCTCACACACATGATCTCATTTGGTCCCCTCTTTAAATACCATATTTATACTGATTACTTTCAACTGTCTATTTTTAGCCCTAATTTCTCTCATGAAATCAAGACTTGAATATACTGCAATCTACTCAGTGTTTCCATTTGGATATCAGATAGGCATCTCAAACTTAAAATACCCAAACTGAATTCTTTTTTTTTTTTTTTTTTAAAGATTTTATTTGTTTGACAGAGAGAGACACAGCGAGAGAGGCAACACAGGCAGGGGGAGTGGGAGAGGGAGAAGCAGGCCTCCCGCCGAGCAGAGAGCCCGATGTGGGGCTCGATCCCAGGACCCTGGGACCATGACCTGAGCTGAAGGCAGACGCTTAACGACTGAGCCACCCAGGCACCCCCCCAAACTGAATTCTTGATTCCATCCACCAAAAACCAAACAGCAACAGAAACCTGCTTCTCCTACAGTTGAGCCTTTCAGTAAAGGAAATCTCTATGCTACCAGTTGCTCAGGTTAGAAACCTTGGAGCCATCCTTGACTTCTCCTTTCTCATACCCACATCTAATCTGACAGCAGATCCTGCCTAACCTTCTCACTTCAACCTCTACTGTGTTCTTCTAGCCTAACCCATTATTACCTCTTGCCTGGACTACTGCTGAATCTTCCTAATTGGTCTTCCTAACTGCTTCTGCCCTCGCTCCTCTAGTCTTGTCTACCACACAGCTGCTGGAGTGATTCTTCCAACATAGATGTCAGATCATGTCACTTCTTTGCTCCAGTGGTATTCTGTCTCAGTGAATCTAACATTTTAATTATGACCCCCTAGGCTCTGGATGTTTGGGTCCCTGCCATGGCTCTGACCTCATCTCTTACTACTCTCCCTCTTACTCATCCCTCTCTTCCAGCCTCACTGGCCTCTGTGCTGGTTCTCCCCCATATTATCTGCATGCCTTGCTCCCTTACTGTAGGTCTTTTAAGGCTTAGTTTTCACTTCAGCAGACAGCTCTTTAATGATCATGCTATAGAAAATAACACCAGTCCATTGTCACTGTGTCTCCTGGGCTTCTTTCTGGGCAGCACATATCACCACCAAGACCATGTTATGTACTTATTTGTTTCTGTTCCTCTCACTAGAATGCAGCTAGTTTATGAGGATAGAAATTTTTGTTTGTTTTATGCACTCCTGTATCCTTGGTGCTTAGAACATAGTATATGCTCAGTGCTATTTGTTGACTGTGTGAATGAATGAATGAACATTTTGTCCCTGCTTTTAAGAAGCTTACAGTCTAGTAGAGGAATTGAAAATACCCAAAATATACTGAATGCTAGTGTCTACCAATAATGTGTTGATAAAAATGTTTCAGGGAAGTCTTCTAGCTCTTATTTCCAGTGTCTTAGTGACAGGGTGTCTGATAATGTTGAGTATCAGCCCAATGGGAGTGTATGTGTAATTGGTTGTAAATCTTTTCTGAATCTCAATGGATCTTCCCATGATAGGGCACTTAGGATTTCTTTCAGATGTTGAACTTGTGAGTCTGTGCCATCTTGCAGGATTGGTGTTGGGTAGTTGATATAATGTACTGATCCTCAACCGTAGTGATGTAGTACCTGAGGAAAAAGGATTTTCATTTTGCTGATAGCCTGGAACCTTTTATTAGTAAGTAGATACTGGTTTAATGACTTGTAGATAGTGGTTCATAGCCAACAATGTATATCAAATCTGGATTCCAAAGTTTAGTTAGTAGTAATCAGTTTGCAAATGAAGGTTGATAGGGATGGTCATAAAATTTTTCTGTCATCATCATTTTGTACTTTATCTAGGTCAAAGTGAAAGAGACATGATGTAAGGTTTGTGAGTGCCGAGTCTTGAAGCATTTGATTTATGGTGGTTAAGGTATGAAGCAGAACGAAAGAACCTTCATAGGCAAAGAAGATAATATGTGGATAAAAGAAGAATAAGGAATTGAATTTAGAAATAAAGTCCCCAAACTTTAAAATTTAGTAATAAAACATATGCACTCAAAGTCAACTTGCTGAGTAACATCCTGTCTATACCCAAGAAGACTTCCTTAAATCCAGTTTGAGAATTTCTGTTCTAAAGTGACATGGAAGCGCTCAAGAATGCCCACAGCCTTTTTCCCAGTCTTCTCGAAACCCTTGCTGCCTAGCTTACTAATAAGCCTTTGAGTAGGGAAAAATGTTCGTAGTTGTTTTTTTTTTCTTTTAAAGATTTTATTTATTTCGAGAGAGAGGGTGTGTGAGCACAAACAGGGAGAGGGGCAGAGGGAGAGAGAGAATCTCAAGCAGGCTCCATGCTGCATGAGGAGCCCTACTCGGGGCTCAATCCCACGACCCTGAGATCATGACCTGAGCCGAAATCAAGAGTCAGATGCTTAGCTGATTGAGCCACCCAGACGCCCTGAAAAATGTTCATTCTTAGAGTCGTCCGTTCGTTTACTCATTTGTTGTACAAACTTTTACTGAGTGCCTGCTTCTAGGCCAGACACTGTTCTTGGAATGCAGTGGTGAAACAAGGCAGAATGGAAGCTCTTGCTCTTGTGAAGCTTCTGATAACAGATGCAGGGAGACAGTAAATGAGCAAAACTGTTAGTGAACTTGATGATTTTAGGCAGTGGTGGTGGTGCTGGGTCGGAAATGAATGTATGATGGGACTAAGTGGTGGCAGGGGTGTTGGCAAATTGGGATCAGGTAGTCTCTGAACAGCAAGACGGAGGGAAGAGCAATTACAGAGGCCCCAAGTGGGAATCAATTTGGCAAGGGGGAAAAGCAGGAAGCTGGCCAGAGCGGCCGAAGGCCAAGGGGAGGAGAGGGTGGGAGATGTTGCAGAGGTGGGAGGCCACCATTTCCTGTGGGGCTTCGTTACTTTTCCAGTTTTCCTGGTTCTCCTTTACTCTGCCCTGCCTCTGTCACTTATAGCAACCCAGCAAACAAACCAGTAACATCCCATGAAACCACCTTCTTTCCCTTGTATGTGAGTAGACGTGATGGTGACGGTTGATTAGAAAAAGTTGTGCTTGAGAAATGTACAAGTGGAGATGAAAATACTGTTCTGTCATCTTTTTTTTTTTTTTAAGATTTTATTTATTTATTTTGACAGACAGGGAGAGAGGGAACACAAGCAGGGGGAGTGGGAGAGGGAGAAGCAGGCTTCCCGCTGAGCAGGGAGCCTGATGCGGGGCTCGATCCCAGCACCCTGGGATCCTGACCTGAGCCGAAGGCAGACGCTTAACGACTGAGCCACCCAGGTGCTCCTGTTCTGTCATCTTTTTAAGAGATAAATCTGAAAGGACCCAAAGAAAAGACCCTAAAGTTTCTTCACACTTTCCTAGGGTAATTTAGTCAGAAAGGCTACTCTGAATAGGTAATATATATGTACAGAGTACAAAAATCAAAAGGTACAAAGGATATGGAACGAAAGAGGTAGTTAGCTTATAAAAGATAAGACAGCAGTGCATTGCAAATGAAAGATTGGGGAGTATTTTTGTTTAATAGAACAGAGGTTTGCTAGTTTTTCCTAGAAATATATTTGAACCCAGGCCGCTTGAATGCCTGTGGTTTTTCAGCACTTACTAGTTTTATTGAGGTTCCATAACCTGAAGTGCCAGGGATCCTTCTAGAATGGGGAGCTGCTGGGAATGGAGGGGCGTGCGTGCTTGCGGGCGTAGCATCAGTGCTGGCAGCGGGCTGTGTGTGTCAGGACGGTGCTGTGATGTGGCAGCTGCTTGTCTGACTGGCCTTCAAGCCCCTGAGAAGCAGCTTAGCAGTTGTCCGGGTCAGACTGGGCTTGCCAGTTTCTAAACTCTCATTGTTTAGACTACTCAGAGTTGACCTTTTAAGCCAAAGTACCTTCCTAGTACTGGTAGGAGGCTGTTCACTTTAGCTATATGCTTTTGTCCCCAGCTGTGGAATGGGGAGTAGGTAGAATTCTGAGTGGAATTGTGGCTTTTCAGCTCTTCCTGAGGGACTGTGAGATAATAGAAGGCATGTATTGGTCTCGCCCTGGTTCCTGGCACAGAGCTCCCAATGCTCTTGTGATGTCCTAAGTGATAAGAATATCTCTTGTTCTAATATTGGTCTTTGTCCTCTTCTCCTGAACCAGGGCTCCTGAAACTCTTGTAATTTTCTGGGTGATAGCAATGTCTTTTGTTCTAATGAGGCAACTCTGGGTGGGTTCCTGGATGGCTCCTGGCCAGTCACTAGAAAGACCAAGCCATGATTAGAAGCTTGGAATTTTCAGCCTTGCCCCCCATTGCCTTGAGAAGGGAGAAGAGTTGAAAATGGAGTTAATGATCCATCATTCGTAGGTGATGAAGTCTTCATAAAAATCCCAATAGTACAGGGTTCAGAGAATTTCCAGGTTGGTGAAGACATTCACACCAGGAGGGTAACACATCCCACCTGCATGGGGCCAGAAGCTCCTTGCCCTATGCATCTCTTTATCTGGCTCTTCATCTGTATCCTTTACCATATTCTTTAATAAACTGGTAAACATATGAAGTGTTTCTCTAAGTTCTGTGAGCTACTCTAGCAAATTAACTGAACCCACGGAGGGGGCTCTTGGAACCTCTGATCTGTAGCCAGTTGGTTGGAAGCATTGGTGATAATGGAGGCTTGCGACTGGCATCGGAAAGGGTGGTGGCGGACTTGTGGGACTGAGCTCTTAACCTGCGGGATCTGAGCTATAGAGATAGTGCCAGAATCAAGTTAATTGTAGGACACCCAGCTGGTGTTGCAGAGACCTGCTTGGTGTAGGGGAACCCCACACATTCTGTGACCGGAAGTATCAAAAGTGAAGTGTGCTATTGTGAGTAGTGAAGGAGATGCTCAGGAAAGAAACACAATAGGGGAGAACTGGGTTTTCCCCTTTTTAAGAAGGAAGAAAATGGAGATTTTTCCTTCCAACAGACTGTGCCTTAACCTTCTTTTCTATCTCCTCGCACCAGTCCCCTAAAATGCGAACCCAGAGCTGGGTATGGGAAACTTGACTGAGGAAGATCATCACAGTGCAACCTTCTTATTTATAAAATAGAAAAGAATTCCTAGAACGATTCAGCCATATTCAAATGTGAGCACCAAAATATTTGCAAAGCAAATATGAGTGGTTTTTTTTTTTTTCTGTTTTTGACATTTTATCATTTATATCGTGGGTGCTGCTGCTGTTTTCTTTGCTCAGTTAACTAGAAGTGGACTGTGTGCAAATCTGGTTATGCATCCCAGGCAGGGAAGATCATGCCTTTTGTGGGCTTTATCCAAATATACTTTAAAAAATTCTTATTTTAGGGGGCGCTGGGTGGCTCAGTTGGTTAAGCATCTGCCTTCGGCTCAGGTCAGGATCCCAGGGCCCTGGGATCAAGTCCCCGATCAAGTCCCCTGCTCAGCGGGGAGCCTGCTTCTCCCTCTCCCTCTGCCTGCCGTTCTGCCTACTTATGCTCTCTCTCTCTGTCAAATACATAAATAAAATCTTTAAAAAAGAAAATTCTTAGTTTAGGACACTTTATTTATTTTTTTATTATTATTATTTTTTAAAGATTTTATTTATGTATTTGACAGAGACACAGCGAGAGAGGGAACAGAAGCAGGGGGAGTGGGAGTGGGAGAGGGAGAAGCAGGCTTCCCGCCAAGCAGGGAGCCCGATGTGGGGCTCGATCCCAGGACCCTGGAATCATGACTCAAGCCGAAGGCAGATGCTTAACGACTGAGCCACCCAGGGGCCCCTAGGACACTTTTAAGTTCTTCTTTTTCTTTTTTCCAACATTGATTCTTTTAATAAGTATTTGGTTATTTTTATTTATTTTTTTATTATTATGTTTAATTAGTGAACATATAGTACGTCATTAGTTTTTTTTTTTTTAAGATTTTATTTATTTAATTGAGAGAGAGAGAAAGAGAGAGAGCACATGAGAGGGGGGAGAGTCAGAGGGAGAAGCAGACTTCCTGCCGAGCAGGGAGCCTGATGCGGGACTTGATCCAGGGACTCCAGGATCATGACCTGAGCTGAAGGCAGTCGCTTAACCAACTGAGCCACCCAGGCGCCTGTTTTTTTTGTTTTGTTTTGTTTTTAAGATTTTATTTATTTATTTGACACAGAGAGAGCACAAGCAGGGGGAGCGGCAGGCAGAGGGAGAAGCAGACTCCCCACTGAGCAGGGAGCCCGATGCGGAACTCGATCCCAGGACCCTGGGATCATGACCTGAGCCAAAGGCAGACGCTTAACCGACTGAGCCACCCAGGCGCCCAAGTACATCATTAGTTTTTGATGTAGTGTTCTTAACTCTTTTTCGAGATGAGAAGTTAATAACTTGATTATCATAAAACATTATCTTACATCTGTGTATTTTGTGAGCATTTCCAAAAGGAGATAAAGAGAGTGAATTTCTACTCCATGTAAAGAAAATTATTACAAAAACATTAAAAACTGAAATCTAAAGCAAGTAGAAACAAACTTATAGAGAAGGCAAGACTATTATAAACATACAAAAGAAATGATCCCTTAAATAGACTTTCTTTGTATACACTTAGTTCTCTTCATTCATAAAACAGTAAAGTCCTTTTAAAGAACTGCCTGGAAGGGCACCTGGCTGGCTCAGTCAGTAGAGCATGCAACTCTTGATCTTGGGGTCGACTCTTGATCTTGGGATCGTGAGTTTAAGCCCCCCCATTGGGTGTAGGGGTATAAAGATTACTTAAAAAATAAGAGGAAGGGGGCGCCTGGGTGGCTCAGTTGTTAAGCATCTGCCTTCAGCTCAGGTCATGAACCCGGGGTCCTCGGATCGAGCCCCACGTTGGGCTCCCTGCTCAGCGGGAAGGCGGCTTCACCCTCTCCCACTCCCCCTGCTTGTGTTCCTGCTCTATCTCTCTTCAAATAAATAAAATCTTAAAAAAAAAAAAGAGGAAGGATAGTGATTTTTCTTTGAATATTCAGGAATCCTAGTAAACTTCTTCAAGAGAAGATATGTGCTTTTATAGAACACTTTGTATATGTGAGTAGCTTGAATTAACATATTTTGAGTAACTGGAACTTTAATTATTTAATGTTTCATTTTTTTCCTCTTTGCAGAAATGACTTGGTTGTTAAACTTCTATTCAGCCATCACTTACTAACTGTGCTGAGCCCTGACTCAGGGCCTTTACACCTCTCACTGCAGCACTGATTGTTTTCCTGGGAGGTTTTGCAGTTTGGATAGACTGCCTTTAATAATAATAAGATGAAACTTTTAGATTTTATTGGTAAAATGAGTTAGAAAAATAATCCAGAGAGTTTCTGTGTGTAATAATTATATTTCTATGGTATTTTCAAAGATTTAACATTTAATAAGGACATAGCTTGGGGTCATCCTGTCAGACACCATGAGTGATTTTTTTTTTCCAAAAAGGATTTTTTTTTTTTTTAATTATGAAAGTAGTTGTGTATCTATAAAGAACACTCCAAACTGAGGAGGTTAAGATGTGTAGAATAGGATGTGAGCTCCTGAGGAGCTAGCTGTGAGCTCTTGGCAGGATGCAGTGTAGAATGAAAAATATAAGCTAATAAAAGAAGTGATGGAGGGTAGTGTTTATTGTGAATTTGGAGGAGTCTGTGAAGATGAGCTGGAGTGTCCGGGACAGTTTTATGGGGTTTGTAGGGCCACACCTAAATGTCTTGGTTAGATTTGGGTAGCTGACGGAGAAAATTCCAGGTGGAGGACATTGGGCCATGTAGGTGACCTCATGAAAAGTCAGAGGCCTTTGGAATCCTGTTTGCCCTGAAGTGTCGTGAGGACCACATGCTGATGGCTCATGGCTGTGTTTGGGATGCAAGATGATTAAACAGTTTTTAAAAATTAGTTGCCAACAGGGGCGCCTGGGTGGCTCAGTCGGTTAAGCGGCTGCCTTCGGCTCAGGTCATGGTCCCAGGGTCCTGGGATTGAGCCCCTCGTCAGGCTCCCTGCTCAGCGGGGAGCCTGTTTCTCCCTCTCCCTCTCCCTCTGCCTGCCTCTCTGCCTACTTGTGCTCTCTATCTCTCTGTCAAATAAATAAAATCTTTAAAAAAAATTAGTTTCCAACATTTTAATTTGAAAATTTTCAAATAAGGAATCTGGTCTTTAGGTTTCTCTTGGAAAATCAGAAGATCTGGGCCAGCTTTCCTATGTGATGACTGTGGCCAGAGCTGAGTGGCGGCCACCCTTTGGGCTGCCCACCTCTCTTCAGCGGGCCACCGTCCTTACCATTCCCTGTGGTCCCCTTGATAACGAGGCCCAGTGACAGCTAACATTTATTGTGGTGGCTGAGGTGTTACTGCCTTCTGAAGGTAGAGTTAAGAGAAAGGTCAAATAGTTCTTGTACCCTTGTAAATTTCAAGAAAAATAGGGAGTGCGTATTTGAAAATATTCCTTCTTCTCTTTCCTTTAGACACATGACAAATCAGTGTCAGAAGATTCTGACTGATTTCACACACTTGTGCCCCCTGCCCAGGCCCCATAGAGTGGCATTTGAGTTTCGATGTCTGTAGTGTTTAAGAGCTTAGGCCCTGGAGTCAGACACACCTGGGTTGGAGCCCTGGCTCTTAAGTACACTCACTAGTCTGGTGATCTTGAGCAAATTACTTTACATCTCTTCGCCTCATCCTCTCACTTGTAACAATAATAGTACCTCCCTATGTTATTGTATTGTTGGAGGACTAAGTGAAATCACTTAATATATAGAACACTTAGCCCAGTGCCTGGCCCAAGTTAACATTTGGTGTCAGCCATGTAAATATAAAGCTAAGAAAAAGACAATTTCTAACTTCATTGCAACCTGGGCTTGTGCAGTGAATTGTGGTGGGAAGAAGGTTATGGGAATTTGTGAGCGCCAGTTTGCATTTGTTAATTAAATCAGTTTGTGCTTCTTGAGAGTGGATACTGTGCTGCGTTCCAGTGAATGAGGCGGACACAGTCCCTGCTTTCATGTTGCTTACAGTCGGCAGTGGAGATAACAAGCCAACAGTTGCAGTATAGTATGATAATATGAAGTAGGTCTTAAAATAGAGTACTTCAGTGATTCTCTGGTTTCATCTTTTATGACAGTTTTAGTGTTAGGAGAGGTACCAGACAGGGCAGAGTACTTGGTGATGCTGGGCCCTGTTCGTACGAGCATGGCGCTGTTCAGCAGTCCACGATCTTTCCTTCTCCTTTCCTCAGATCGTCATTTATGGAGGACCTACCATCATTTAGGCAAATGTCCAAGCCTGACAGAGAAAAGAGAAAGAGAAGCCTTTTTCTGGATAAAGAAAGTTCTTGTCCTCAGCCTGCCTCCCCCACTCTGTCCCAAAACTGTACTTGGAGAAAGAGAAATTCAGAGGGTCCAACCAAACCAATGTCTGGGAGAGGAATAAAGACACTTCTCACCCCCCAGGACTTGAAAATGAGAAGCTCAACAGAGAACCCTACTGGTTTGGAACTTTGGAGCTGCCACCGGAACCAGGAAAATCCTTCAAAATTAAACTTACTTTTTATTTCATGATATTAATACTTTGTACCATTAAAAACTCGTACTTTATGGCATGTCTAAGAAAATATTTTAAATACATAAAAGAAAACCAGTTTATTTTAATACCTTGAACTTTATTTAAAATAATCCTTGTAGCTTGATTTTATAATAAAACTTAAACATTTTTTAAACTAGAAACACAGTGCTGTGGGAGAAAGAAATGAGGAGATGAATTCTTTGGTTTAATAAGGTGCGTGTCTGGGAAGGACTTGGCAGAGGACTTGATCAAGGGACTTGGGGAGAGGGTCTGACTGGGCAAAGAGGCCAAGGGCAGCTGAGGCAGTAGCGTATGCATTAGAGCCTCTGGAGAAGAGTTTGTGGGCCATGGTGCAGAGATATAGAGTGTACTGAACGATTGATTTTTCTGGCAGAAAATCAGAGAATAGAATGTAGAGTCATTCTGTGAGTGACTTTGCAAGTGGATGCCTGTCTTTGAGGAGAAGGATAAATGCTTGTTATTTCTAGGGTTTCTGGTCAGCTCCTCTTTCCTCAGAGCATTCTTCTCTTCTTTTTGGAGAAATCCTCCTTTGGAGAGGAGGGAGGGCCCACTCTCCCATCCCAAGAACTGAATGGGCACAGTGTGTGTGCCCATTCTCTGGTGTGCCTGTGTGGATGCAGGACTCAGGCTCCATTAGTTGTGGCTCAGTGCTTCCAGTCCTGAGGAGGTTGGGGGGAAGGTAGGGGGAGGGCAGTGGCTATGTGCTTACCAGATGTTTGTGTTTTAGATCCAGGCTTTTGCTGCCAGCCCTGGCGTGCCATGGTGTGGGCATATCTTCCAAGCCTGGCCTTTTAGTCCTTGCCACCCCACTATTTTGAGCCTTTGATATTTCTTTCAGTACAGTCCCTTTGACTACAGATGGCCAGACTTGGTTTGAGCCCTGTCTAATGCACCTCCTGGGTAGTTTTTAAGGTAACCTCCTCACTAATGCAGTGTACCAGAGGAAATGTATGTGCAGAGTCCAAATTTTTATTAATTTCTTTTTCTTTTTTTATTAAAGATTTTATTTATTTGAGAGAGAGAGCCAGTGAGAGAGAGAGCACGAGCATGAGCAGTGGGAGAGGGGCAGAGGAATAGGGAGAAGCAGGCTCCCTTGGGGCTCAATCCCAGGACCCTGAGATCATGACCTGAGCTGGAGGCAGACACTTAACTGAATCACTGAGGAGCCTCTGTTTTTTTTCCCTGGGAGAGCTTTTTCATTTTATTCATGGTGGAGGCTTTAACATTTTTCCATTTTTTATGGTAAAAATTTCTTCTTGCCAGAGTTTGTAAAATTGATTTTAAATGGCCAAAGAATAATCCAGTCAAATTAGAGCAAGTGTAACTAACACTGGCCTAAATGCTGATATTTTTATGAAATGCTTACCAGCATCGTCATACCCTCTCTACGCTCGGTGCTTATAGTTTCTCATTTTAGAATTGTCCTAAAGAATATTTGAGAGTGTGTGAATTTTTAAATATTTTAAACCTTGTGGATATCAAGGACCAGATTTTAAAAAATGTGTTTTAAAAAAATTTTTAAGTAATCTCTGCCCCCAACATGGGGCTTGAACTCGTGACCCCGAGATTAAGAGTTGCATGCTCCATGGACTGAGCCAGCTATTTAGTGCCCCCTAAAATGTTTTTTAATAATATAAGTTTATGAAAACTATAGGTTGTTTCTTAAAATACACATTATAGTCTCCAAGTTCCATCTTGGTCAACAAGAATTTACGGAGTCCTTTATATAAAGTACTAATCTAGATGCAGTGACGATTTTTAAAACTGAGGATGTGTTTCCTAGTCTCTGGGAAGAATACTTTTCTAAATTGGTTAATTTCCTTCAGTCATTTCAGTGCAGTTGAACAAGCAGCTATTTGTTTTATATGGGGGCAGATAGAAAAATGGAAGAGACAGGACTTAAAGTACGTGGAACAATTAGAAAAAGTGTAGAGGCTGTGCTTTGGAGAGACTTCATGTTGGAGACAAAACACTGAAGTCGTCAATCTTGTGCTTTAGGAAAGGATAGGATGTAGGTAGGTAGGAAGGAGGGGAACGGGTATGTATAGAAGGCGATCCAGCTTGGATGTGGGTTGATTAGGACAGGTTTTTAGGAAAGAAGTACATTTTTATCTGAGATCGGAGGGTAGATAAAAGAAAAAACCTAGAGCCCGAATTATATTGATGTGAATTTGAGAAAACACCTTCCAGGTGGCACCATCTTTCTGAGAAGTAAAAGATATATATACTGAAAGTGGTTTGGTCATAGGAATTTCAGAGGCAAGAAAAAGTCTGGCAGACTAGTATGGTTGGGATCCAAAGGATAGTTTTGTAAGGTTGGAGGTTGAATGGTCTGTATCCTCACAAGCAGTTGTGGGCCTACTGTGTGTAGAGCACCACGGAGGATGAACTTTAAGCAGGAAAGACCGTTTTAGAACTCTGGAAACTTAAATTCCATCTTCAAAAGAGAGGATAGAATTTATAGTGTTTACATTTTCTGTATTTCCCTATCCCTTTGCATGTAGGAGCTGGAGAGGGGAAAGGAAACAGGAAATGTTTCAAGGTTGGGGACTGATTCAGGAGCATTATATAAGGTCAGGGGAGTGGGAAACTAACCGAGAGTCAATTTTTCCATCTGTAAAGTGGGAAAAAATGGCACCTAATTTATGAAGTTCTATGAAACTTGAATGAGGGAAGATAAAGTCTTTCCCAGGTACTTATTGAGTACCCAAGAATTGTTAGCCAGTGGTACTGAGACAGGAACACTGAAGGAATCCCAATGGTCAACAAATAATTACAATTCAGTGAGAGAAGTGTTGTGGAAAAAAAAAAAGTGTTGTGAAAGAACCCTGCCCAGAATGCTTAAGGAATGGAGTGACTAATGCTGAATAGGAAAGTTGGAAATAGTGGGAAAGGAGTAAATCTGGGTGTTGAAGGGTGAGTAGGAGTTTGCTGCCACTATGTTAATAGAGATTATGCAAACCTTAAAAAAATCACATCAGATCCTGATCATAATGGCCTAACACAGCTGCATCAAGATAGATGTCAGTGTGGCATGGGATCCAAAAACATAGGAAGTGGGAAAGAAAAAATTTAATGGAATAAACTTTAAAAAGGATTTAAATGTAATAAATGTGGCAGTGTGAGTGTACTTTGAAAGGGCTTTATGGAAGGAGGTAAGACCTGAGGTTATAGAATCTTGAAATTTGTAAACCTGGAAGTAACCCTAGACCAAATCTATCCAGCCATTTCAGTGAGATAAGGGAACTGAAACCAAAAAGGTGTTCACATCTGTCTACTGTGCTATTTCTGGTAAAATAATGCATATGCAGGTAGAAAAGAACAGTTTTTTTTTTTTTCCTGGCAGATCCACAAGAAGGAGTTAAATAAGTGGAAAGGAAGAAAGTTGAATAAAAATACATTTCTAAAGCTGACTCCCAGCGCCAGCATTGAAAACAAAGCAGGTGGCATGAGAGGCCGTGATACAATTATAGAAGTATAGTCGATAGTGACTTGAGCAGCATCTATTGCTTATTGTCACCATTGGCTGTGGCTGATCACGCATCCCAGAGCCAGCACATGTGTGTTGTGGGAAGAAAGCTGAATTTATCAGAAACATGGATATTTTGGGCAAAGTTTGAATGCCAGAGGCTTATTTTTGAAGGCAGTTTTATTAGTCTTCCTTCCGTTATAAAGCTATTTCATGCTCACTGTAGTGAATTTGGAAAACATCCCCTCTTTTGAGCCCACTAGATGGTAAGTTACCAGAGTTCTAATGTGTCTCCCCTGCGCGGAGTTCACCTTCCCTGGTGCTTGCATGGTGCTTTATACATAGCAGGTTCACAGTTGTTGGGAGGATAAGTAACCTCCAAATCATTTCTTCCAAAACGTACAGAGGAAATTCTTTAATCATTATGGTTTTTGGGTTTTACAACATTGTGACTGATTTAAATACAATTTTATAAACTGTTTTTTCACGTATTATAAACATTTTTTCCCCTAATCTGAACTCAGCATAAACATTCTAATGGCTATGTGCCCATTGAATGGATGAAAGCATTTACTTAAATGTTCCTCTCTTGTTGTAAATGACATTGTTAAATCACATAAGAAGGTAATATTGGCAACCACAGTAATTACTGTTTTATCTTTCTGTAGTCTCAAGAAGTACACATTTTTAAAAGTATGACCGCCAACCATCTTAAAGAATTACCACTCTCCATTTGCCACCGTCTTTCCCCAGTCCTTATTCATAAGAAGCACGTATGAGATTTAGTGAAGAGTGGTGGTATTTTGCACTTTTTACAAATCTCCTAAATTTACAAATCTCCAAATATCCTTAGATAATTGATAGCTGGGTTTTCTTATCTGCTATTCAATACAGATTCTGTGTCTTTTGATATGTTGTTTTGAAGTATCTGAAGAAAATTGAGTCTCACGCAGAATATGTAGTGAATTATTTAGTAGAATGTTCCTTAATGTGGGTCTCATGGTTTCTCATGGTTAGATTGAGGTCATGCATTTTTGGCGATAATATCACAGAAGTGATGTGTCCTTGTCAGTGCATCATATCAAAAGGTACATGATGTCAATGTATCTTATTACTGGTGATGTTAACCTTGATTGTTCGGTTAAGGTGAGGTCTGTCTGGTTTCTCCACTGTAACATAGTTACAAATCTTTTTTCTTCTGGTGTTGAGAACTTTTAAGATTTACTTTCTTAGCAACTTTCAAATAACTATACAATAGAGTATTGTTAACTATAGTCCCCATGCTGTACGTTACATCCCCAGAACTTACTTATCTTGTAACTGAAAGTTTGTAGCTTTTGACTTTTTTCAGCCCCCCACACCCACCTCTGCCAGCCGCCACCTATCTGTTCTCTGTTTCTGTGAGCTTAGTTTTTTTAGGTTCCACATGTGAGCGAGATCATATAGTATTTGTTTTTGACTTATTCCACAAAGCACAGTGCCTTCAGGGTCCATCCATGTTGCAAATGGCAGGTTTCCCTTTTCTTTGGCTGAATAATACTCCTCTGTGTGTGTGTCACATTTTCTTTATCCATTCATCCATCTGATGGACACTTAGGTTGTTCCCATGTCTTGGCTGTTGTAAATAATTCTGCAGTGTATATGGACATGCAGATACCTATTTGAGATATGATTTTGTTTCCTTGGGATATATACCTAGAAGTGGGATTGATAGATCATATGGCAGTTCTATTTTTAAATTTTTGAGAAACCACCATACTGTTTTCCATAGTGGCTGAACCAGTTTACATTCTCATCAGCAGCATACGAAGGTTCCATTTTTTCCACATCCAGCACTTTTAATCTCTTGTCATTTTATTTTTATTTATTTATTTTTAAAGATTTTATTTATTTATTTGACAGAGACACACACAGTGAGAGAGGGAACACAAGCAGGGAGAGTGGGAGAGGGAGAAGCAGGCTTCCCGCGGAGCAGGGAGCCTGATATGGGATCATGACCTGAGCCGAAGGCAGACGCTTAACGACTGAGCCACCCAGGGGCTCTTCTCTTGTCATTTTAATGATAGCCATTTTAACAGTTGTGAGGTGATATCTCATTGTGGTTTTGATTTGTATTTCTCTGACAGTTAATGATGTTGAGCATCTTTTCATGTACCTGTTTGTCATTTATAGGTAATCTTTGAAAAAATGTTTCTTTGGTTCTTCTACCAATTTTTTTTTTTTTTAGATTTTTTATTTATTTGAGAGAGAGTGCATAAGCAGGGGGTGCAGGGGCAGAAGACGAGGGAGAAGCAGACTCCCCACTGAGCAGGGAACCCGTTACAGGGCTTGATCCCAGGACCTCAGGATCACGACCTGAGCCGAAGGCAGACGCCCAACTGATTGAGCCACCCAGGCGCCCCTCTTCTGCCCATTTTTAAATCACATCGGTTTTCTTTCTGTTTTTGTTGAATTGTATGAGTTCCTTGTATATTTGGAATATTATCCTTATCAGACATACAATTTGCAAATATTTTCTCCCATTTGGTAGGTTGCTTTTTCATTTTATTGATGGTTTCCTTTGCTGTGTGCAGGAGCTTTTTTAGTTTGATTCAGTCCCACTTTATCTATCTGTCTGTCTGTATATATGTCTATCTATCTATCTAGTAAGCTCTACACCCAGTGTGGGGCTTGAACTCATGACCCTGAGATCAAGAGTCGCATGCTCTACCGGCTGAGCCCGCCAGGTGCCCCTGTTGCCTTTGCTTTAGTGTCAAATTAAAAAATCATTGCCAAGACTGATGTTAAGGAGCTTACCCCCCGTGTTTTCTTCTAGGAGTTTTCTGATTTCAGGTCTCACATTAAAGTCTTTAATTCATTTTGAGTTGATTTTTGTGTCTGACGTAAGGAGTGGTGCAGTTTCATTCTTTTGCATGGGGCTGTACAAGTCTTTCCAGCACCATTTATTGAAGAGACTGTCCTTTCCCTATTAACGGATTTTTGGCTCCTTTGTCATAAATTAACTGACCATAAGTGTATGGGTTCACTTCTGGGCTCTCTATTCTATCCTATTGATCTATGTGTCTGTTTTGAGGCCAGTACCATACTGTCTTGATTACTATAGCTTGGTAATATAGTTTGGAATTAGAAGCGTGGTTTGTTCTTCTTAAGATTGCTTTGGCTCTTCAGGGTCTTTTGTGGTTCCATACAGATTTTAGGAGTGTTGTTTTATTTTTGTGAAAAGTGTCATTTGGAATATTGGTAGGGATTGCATTGAATTTGTAGATTGCTTTGGGTAGTATGGAACGTTTTAACAATACTAATCTTCCATCCATGAGCATGGAATAACTGTCCATTTATTTGTGTCTTCAGTTTCTTTCATGTCTTAAAATTTTCAGTGTACATATCTTTCACCTCCTTGGTTAAATTTATTCCCAGGTATTTTATTCTTTTTGATGCATTTGGAAATGGGATTTTTTTTTTCTTAATTTCTTTTTCTGATAGTTCATTGTTAGGGTACAGAAATGCAACTGATATTTTTGTATATGGGGTTTGTATCCTGCAACTTGGTGTAATCTTTAGGGTTTTCTTATATATAAGATCATGTTATCTGCAAATAGTCAAAGTTTTACTTTTTCCTTTCTAACTTGGATGCCTTTTATTTCTTTTTCTTGCCTAGGTGCTTTGGCTAGGATTTCCAGTACTGTGTTGAATAAAAGTAGCAAGAGTGGACATCTTTGTTCTGTTCCTAATTTTGGAGGAATAGCTTTCAGTTTTTCACCTTTGAGTATGATGTTAGCTGTGGGCTTGTCATATATGGCCTTTATTATGTTGAGGTACATCCTCTTTTTACCCACTCTGTTGAGAGTTTTGTTTTTTTTTTAAGATTTTATTTATTCATTTGAGACATAGAGATAGAGAGAACATGAGCAGGGGGAGAGGCAGAGGGACAGGGAGAAGCAGGCTCCCCACTGAGCCAGGAGCCACGCTAGATCCCAGGACCCTGGGATCATGACCTGATAGTGGCTTAATTAACCATCTGAGCCACCCAGGTGCCCCCTGTTGAGAGTTTTTATTACGAATTGATGTTTAATTTTGTCAAGTGCTTTTTCTGTATCTATTGAGATGATTATATGATTTTTATTTTTTATTTTGTTAATGTGTAGTATATTACATTGATACATGGATGTTGAACTATCTTCGCATCTCTGGAATAAATCCCACTTGATGATGGTGTATAAAATACTCAATTCTTTTTCTTTTAACTTTGAATGATTAGTCTCGGAATGATACCTCAATAATAATAACAGAAAATACTTTTTTGTTGGGGGGGCATCTGGCTGGCTCAGTCAATAGAGCATGTGACTCTTGATCTCAGGGTCTTGAGTTCGAGCCCCATGTTGGGTGTAGAGATTACTTAAGGAAATTAAAAAAAAACCTGAACTTGGAGCGCCTGGGTGGCTCAGTCGGTTAAGCGGCTGCCTTCGGCTCAGGTCATGATCCCAGGGTCCTGGGATCGAGCCCCACATCGGGCTCCCTGCTCAGCGGAGAGCCTGCTTCTCCCTCTCCCTCTGCCTGCTGCTCCGCCTACTTGTGCTCTCTCTCTGTGTCAAATAAATAAATAAAATCTTTAAAATAAATAAATAAAATTTAAAAACCTGAAGCTCAAGAAAGAAAATACTTGTAGGGGCACCTCTCTGGCTCACTCAGTAGAGCATGTGACTCTTGATCTCGGAGTTGTGAGTTTGAGCCATACGTTGGGTGTAGAGATTACTTAAAAATTAAAAATCTTAAAAAAAATACCTAGTTGCATAAGACATAATAATAAATTATTAACATCTATAAAGCTAAGGGTAAGATGGCTTCCATCATATTTTTGTTTCTTATTTACAGTTTCATCCAGTTTCCTTGGAGTAGACTCCTCCCTTTCATGACTCCCGACAACTCACTGATGTGGTCAGTTTCATCATTTTCAGCATCTTTAGACGTGGATGGTGCAACTGTGGGTTGAGAAATCAAATCTCCTAATCTTTCCTTTTTAAAGAAATGATCCATCCTTAAATATAAAAAAGTTATACATTTTCTTTTATTTGAGAATAAAATATTGTTAAAGTCATAAAATGTTAAAGTAACAGTTTTAGAAACAATTTAAAAATTTAGAAAAATTTGAAAATTTGAAAAGTACTATTGTAAAACAAGACCACAAAACGTACTGCTTATGTTTTTGTGGAGGCATAAGCAAAGCTTCAGAATTTGTAATTAATGATATGTAGGGCAATATTCAAGTTACAGGAATTTATAGCAGGTGTAAATAATAATAGCTGGTAAGAGCACAGAATGGAGATCAAACTGAGTTCGTCTCTGAAAAACATATGTGTACCCTAAAGCTGTTGTTATCTTAGAAAATTCTAGATAACACAAGACTATACAAGCACACATTCCATTAACGGTCGGAGTGATGGCATCGTTACCTGTCACGTAGCCTCTGGAAAACTCCGCTGTACACGCAGGAAGGAATAGGAGTGGAAAGGGCAGATAACATCTTAGTATTAATATGAAAATAGTATTGGCCCTCAGGGGCCTGTGGTCCCCCAGGAATCTTTGAGAACTGCTGTTTCTAAGTGATTCTGACTGCAGCCTGATGTGAAACTCTGGTGGGAGGAAGGGCATTGTTATTAGTCAAGTGCTTCTTGTCCCAGGCACTGTGTTAGGAACTTTACAAGATACAACCTCATTTAGTCAAGGTCTTTGTAATGGTGGCACAGAAGTGATAACGAGGTCAAAATTGGGCTATATATGAAGGTAGGATTTTGTTGATTCATCTACTGTAAGATGTGAGTCAGGTCAAGGGTGGCCTTAAGGGTTTTGACCAGAGTAACTGGAAGGGAAGAGCTGCCATTTCCCTGGGATGAAGAAAAGTACTGAAGGGCAGGTTTGGGATAGGGAAAATATCAGCTGTATATAGAAAATGGCGCTCAGGGGAGAGGAATGGGCAGGAGGTATAAATTTGGAAGTTGTCAGCCTATCAGTAGTATTTTAAGACACAATCCTGGGCAGAATCACAAAGAGAATGAGTAGGTATAGAAGAGAAGACACCTTGAGGACTAAGCCCTGCAACACTGCATGATTTAGAGGTCAAGGAGATAAGCAAAGAGTAGCAAGCAAGGGAGCAAGAAAATCAGAAGATATGTATTCTGGACGCCAAGGAAAGGTTGATTCACCACAGAATGAATGTTACCATGACAAGGGCTACTGATGGGTCAAGTGGATGAAGACTGAGTTGACCCTTAGATGGAGCAACAAGAAGGTAATTGGTGACTTTGATAAGGGGGAGAAATTCTGTTTGTAGTGGGTTCAGGACTGAGTGGGAAAAGAAGAATATATATCTGTAGTTACAGACAATTTTACTGAATAATTTTGCATAAAGAAGAACATAGAAGGGGGGGTATGGGGTCAGGAGAGGGTTTTGTTTTATCTCTTCCTTTTTTTTTCCCCAAAGATTTTATTTATTTATTTGACAGAGACAGACGAGCGAGAGAGGGAACACAAGCAGGGGGAGTGGGAGAAGGAGAAGCAGGCCCCCCGCCGAGCAGGGAGCCCGATGCGGGGCTCGATCCCAGGACCCTGGGATCATGACCTGAGCTGAAGGCAGACGCTTAACCGACTGAGCCACCCAGGCGCCCTGTTTTATCTCTTCTTAAGAAGGGGGAACTACAGCATGTTTTATGCTGTTGGAAATGATCTGATCTGGTAAAGAGGTAGAATGTTATGATGCAGAAGAGAGAGGGGGAGAATTGCTGGAGCAGTGTCTTTAAGTAGGACAGACAGAAGATCTTGTCCACAAATGGAGAGGTTGGTTTTCACTGGGAGCACAGATAGTGCCTCTGTGGGACTGAAATGAGAGGTAAGGTTTATGGGTATGGATGCAGGTAGGTAGATGTAGAGATGGAAACATGGACATTCTTCTTAGATTGAATCTATATTCTCAGCAAAACAAAAACCAAGAGAGTGAGGGTGAGGCAATTTAGGGTAATGTGAAATGGCAAAGAAGCCACAGAAGGACAGTCTGGGGTGTAACAAGAAATAGGCTACGTGTGAATTTCACATCCGATTATCTCAAGTGAATTCTAGGATTAACTGTTACAGAGCTTCCATTTTTGCTGCAGGGTCTCACTAAATGAGATATACTTATATTTCTTTGAGTTTATTTAAGTTTCTTCTATCTTACCTTTCATATCAAGGAATATTTTTAAATATACTACCTGATTAGTGTATGATATTTTATTTGTGTTCAAAGGATTAGCTTTTGCAATCAAGTTGTACCTTAGAATTATCCTTGTTTTAATGGTCGTATCATACTTCACAGTTCTTGTAAATAATATACAAAGGTGTTAGAAAACTTTCTTAACTGGAAAGCAAAAGGGCAAAAACAGTTGATTACATCAAGTCTGTTTTATATGCTGATAGCACTAGTGAAAACAATAGCCATTAGTTACATAAAATGTGTTTTTGAACTTTGATACCGGATGCAGATCTGTAAAACCAATGGCTAGTTGCTTTCTAGTGAAGGAAGAAAAGCAAATCCATGGATCACATTTTTGTCAAGTCATCCATTCCTAGAACTGTTTAAGGACTTTGCCTAATCAGAGTGATTTATTATATATTTGAGAGTGTATTGCTTCATAGTTACTCTTTTGTGTGAAACCCAGATTCATTTTCATTATTAAAGTATATAATCAAAGCCTTTAAACAGTTAACTTTAGGAGAAGCAACAAAACAAAAACCAACCCTGCATCATTCATGCTTCTGCAATTCTTTCTTTCCTCTTGATCTTAGTGTGTCATATGTATATCGTCATGTTTTTTGTATTTGCAAATTATGCTGTAAACTGGTGTTATTTTGTGTAGGTGACTAGCTGTTTTCTCACTGTGATGTAAAGAGACTTTGTTGCTATGTGGCCAGCTCCAGGATTTATGGACACCTCTTACTGGTTGCACGGCCTTTCTGAAGTGGTCAGGCGGATCAGCTGTCGCCTTTCTCTCCCTGCATGTCACAAGTCTTATGTTGCTGTAGGTTGGGTTTCAGTGCCCTTAAGTGTTTCTTTTGCATCCTGGATTAACAATGCAGGAGTTTTTTGAGAATGGTAATTGCCTGGGTTGTGTACAGGAAGATGACCGCCTGTGCTGCAGAATTAGCACTATATTGTGGACTGATAGTCATCGTGAAGATTGCTGGGTGTATTAGATTTACTCGGAATGGTTATGTGTACAGGCAAAGCTTCTCACTGGGAGTACGGAAGAACTCGAAGCTGTCACCTGACTCCACCTGTAGGCAATAAGCTGCAAGATAAAGTAGAAGACTGATGAAAAAATCTATACATGGGGCGCCTGGCTGGCTCAGTTGGAGTGTGTGACTCTTGATCTTAGGGTTATGAGTTCAAGCCCCACGTTGGGCATAGAGCCTCCTTTATTTTTTAAGATTTATTTATGTATTTTAGAGAGATAGAAGAAAGGGAGAGAGGTGAGCGGGGGAGAGGGAGAGGGTAAGAGTGAGGGAGAGAAGCAGACTCCCTGCTGACCACCGAGCCCAACACGGGGCTCCATCCCAGGACCCTGAGATCATGATCTAAGCCGAAATCAAGAGTCAGACACTTAACCAGCTGAGCCACCCAGGTGCCCGCCCGCCTTTAAGATCTATTTATAAGCCTACTTAAAAAAAAATATATGTAGACACATTTTAACAGATTGGCAGGCAAGTTGTACAATGAATGTGACATCAAGTTAGTTCTGTGGAACGATAGACATGAACAACTTTCTTAAGGGCCCTGAACTGAACAGCTTATTTAAACATTTGGTCAGTGCCACCTAGGAACCATACATAT